ACTTTACTGCTTTCTACACTTGTGCATATGCCTCATCTCTTACCATGTTTTAATACCTTTGTATCCTTAGCTGTTCAATAAATTTTTTGAATAAACCAAATAAGGATTTATGTGACAATATTTTAAAATTACTATATTATAGTGAACTTATTTTCTGGGTGATGGAGGCAATTGATTTTTGCATTTGGAAGCTAAATGCATAAAACGGTACAAAAATAAGATTTTGGTTAAGTGATACATTAAATAAATGAAATGGGGAATGATCTGTAGTGATAATTTTTAAGCTGATAAATTATGGTATTTAGGCAATAACTAGATACCTTTAAAATAATGAATACAAAGCCTTATGTATTTATGTTACTGTGGTTCATTGCCTACATTCATAATTGGAAACAAATGCCAGATTTGTGCTACAGTTAGTAAAGGGTAGCTTGGTTTCTAGATAAATGGTATGCTATCCTACGTTCTTGGAAAATATTAAGTTCTTTATAAACAGCTTGGATGGATTACATTTACTGTTGTGTGATAGAGGTTGATAAGACTAACATGCTTCATGATATGGCTGTATTTGCATGTCTTTAGTTTAAATTGACTGTCTTGGGGAATTGGGCTTGTCAGCAGTTTGAAAGATCATGGGCCAGAGAGAGGGCTCAGTGGTTTAGGGACCCTGGCTACTTGGAGGATCTGGGTTCAATTTCCAGCATCCACATGGCAGCTCACAACTGTTAATTCCAGTTTCAGGGAACCTCACTGACACCCATGGCAAAAAATCCCAATGCATGTAATAAAAGATCATAGTCATAGTTAATGTGCTGCTTGTTACATCTTTCTGGACATCAAAAGATGTCTTTGTTATTTGAAATGAAAAAGTTTCCTAGTGGTATCTCAAATAATTCCTCTGCATGTCCTTAATGATAATCTTTTTTCCCTCAATAGGGTGGCTCTCTTCCCAAAGTGGAAGCCAAGTTCATTAATTATGTGAAGAATTGCTTCCGGATGACTGACCAGGAGGTAACTGAATTTTCTGTGGATATATAACCAAGACAAGTTTTCATTATGATTTTTTTACTTTTAGTCTCATAAGTTGGTTCCTTGTAAAAGGTCCCTAACCACAGACAGTTCTTAAATACATGGAAAGAATTTAATTGGCAGACTGAACAGATAACTTTAGTACACATTTTCCCCAGCTTTTAAATAGTTGTTAAATTATCTCTTGGTTACTTAGTTTTACTCTTAGTGTAGTGTTGGCTAAGAAAATAGGCTGATATTTTACTTTGTTCCATTTGGCTGCTTTACATAAAGTCTGAAGTTTGCCCTCTTGGGAAGTGACAGTACCTTCTCCAAGTAGTAGATGAGGTTAATTTTGGTGGTATAAGCATTTTAATGCCCTCACATGTGAGGTTTTATGTAAATATCAGAAAAGTTTTGCTTTTAATGGAGCTTAGAATTCACTTGACAATGGAAAGGGAAAACACAACCAGTGTCTTCCCAGTGGCACGGATTTTAAATTTTATCAGAGTTGTAAAGCAGGAAAAGTAAGCAGTTTAATGGGTTGTTAGATCTTTTGTTTGTACATATCCTTAAATGGATTTCATTAATGTCAAGTTTATAACGGGCTTATATACTTAACTCCTATTTTAACAATGTTTGAACATTTTTAGTCAAATTTTGAAACCTAGTATGGTTGAACCACAAGCTGAGGCAACATTGTCCAGATAGCCAGCCCTGTTTTTATACTTGGCATTTAATTAAAGAATCTTATGCTATATATCTGAGTTAAAATGCTGAACTTTTTTGGTAGAAAAATGAACTGAAGAAATGTATTGACTTATAAAGTTAATCTCTACCATTTCTTACCCTCTCCCCCTTTACAGGCTATTCAAGATCTCTGGCAGTGGAGGAAGTCTCTTTAAGAAAATGGTTTAAACAGTTTGAAATATTCCGTCTTACTTAATTTCTGTAACAGTTGATATATCTGGCTGTCCTTTTTATAATGCAAAGTGAGAACTTTCCCTACTGTGTTTGATAAATGTTGTCCAGGTTCCATTGCCAAGAATGTGTTGTCTAAAATGCCTGTTTAGTTTTCAAGGATGGAGCTCCACCCTTTACTTGGTTTTAAGTATGTATGGAATGTTATGATAGGACATAGTAATAGTGGTGGTCAGATGTGGAAATGGTAGGGAGACAAAAATATACATGTGAAATAAACTCAGTATTTTAATAAAGTAGCACTGTTTCTATTTGTTTATTTAACTGTTCCATACATGGTCTGAAGTTAAAAATGTCAGTGTGCTCAAATCTCATGTCTCCCCATTCCTGATCAGTTTGTAAATTGATTCATTGCCTTGACTAAAGTTGTTGACTCTTTGGTTTGGTTCATTAACCTGATGACATAATGAACATAATAACCACAGTGAGTCATGCATCCTGGTTTGCAGTTGTGTATTAACATGGTATTGTCACAATGCTTGGCAGAGTCCTTATATGCAAGATAACTTCTATCTTAAGTACTATCTTAAGTGTACCTCCTGTTTAGCTTTCTATATGCTTCTCTATAATTGTACAATCTATCAGCTTTATAAGTCCCCAAGAGGAGCAAGCAGTTCTGGGAATTTTTTGGGACAATTAAGTGTCCTTGCATCCATTCTTAGGCTTTCTGTTTTCTTGATTTCTTTTATATTAAAATTTTATTTCTAACTTAGCAAATTGGTTCTTTGGAGTGATAAGAATCTGGTTGGGGATTGCGGAAATTGTCCAGAAGCTTGAGTATATGGTACTTTTGTCTTGTGGTCATTTGAGCATTTTGTAACTTAGTCAAGGGCTGCTTTGTTCCTCAGTCTTACTGGGGAAATTTTATATATACAGGTACACAGGCGTTCAATCATGACATTTTTAAATTATTTGGTTAGGTACACAATATTCATATTAGGATCAGCATGCCTGATTTTTGCATAAAGCCACTTGGCTGAGTATTTGTAAATTTAATGGTAATTATCAGCAGAATACCCGTTTCATGAATACAAATAAAAAGGCATATTTCGAAGCCTGAAACTTATAATCATAAGCAAACCTGTGTTTGTCGGATGAAACTCAACAGCATTTTATTTTTATTGATAGTTAAAAGGTCTATTAAGGCTTAACGTTTAAACCAAGCTATATAGGAGCAGAGTTTTGTCTATAGCCTCAATTCTGGTACAGGCCTATTGGGCTGGTAGGTGGTGTATGGTGTTAATGGTGTGCAGAGTGATCATTGAGGACTTCACTTTGCAGATGCCTATATTGGTGATGCATTTTACTGACCTTGCTCACTTAAATGGTTTCAGGTAGTGCCTTTTAACTGATAATTAGTGCTGACTATATTTTCAGAAGTTGGAGTCAACATTTGCCTTTTGAAGTATTAGTGGATGGAGGGGTCTGAGGTGTTTAATTTGAAACTGTTTTCTTTTGTCTGTAATTACACTGGTTGAATGGAACACAATTTTCCATCTTGAGTGAAAGCAGTTTGGTCCTTAAAAGTTTACTAGATGGTTCCCTGACTTCAGTAAAACTTTAGCTACATTAAGATGGAAGTATATAAAATATAGAATGTTTTATAAAAAATGTAAAAAGGCAAAGATGTGTTGTCTCAAGCTTGTCAAGTATGGATCTGCAACTTCTGTATATAGTAAACTATTAGAAACTGTGTGCAAGAACTACAGATTTCAGGTAAAGCAGTATTAACTGGAGTAATGGCTGTCTCACCTGCTTAGATGCACATGTCTGCATAATGTTAGTTGTATGAGGCACCAGCAATACTAGGTCATCTTTGTCTTGACAATATGGAACTGGACTACGGACTACAGGGGTGTTCCAGTCAGGTTGCCTCTTTCTGGAGACTATCTAAACATAATACATCCATACATTCCAAGTTCTGTTATGAGATGTTTTGAGAAGCAGTGTTTAACATTTCATTGTGTATGCAGAGGTGTACAAATATGTATTAATGCCAAGTGCAGTTCCACCATATACTGAAGACCTTAAGAGACTTGCATTCAACCTAGTTTCTCGTGTACTACCATTATTTAAGCCTTAGTATCCTATTTCATTCACTTAGGAGTGCCTGGTTTTGGATCTTCATTTTCAGAGCTTTTAATTATCTTGTTATGATGTTCAAATGTAGCAGTAAAACAGGATTCCAATGGAAGGAATCTTGTCCTAACTTAGCATTATTAAAGGTGTTGTTTGTGTTGGTGGGTTTCTCACCTGATGAATTAAACTCAGTATAAACTCTGAAAAGATTGTTGGCTATTTGGTTCCTTACAAGGGCCTCCTGCAGTCTTTGGTCACCTAAAGCGTACACTGACACAAGGGAACGTTCCTTTGTATGGATGGTTGCATCCTGCCTTTCCTCCCAGCCTACATGTTAAGTTCTTCGGACTATCGTTTTGCAGTTTAATTTTTCCCTTTTCAGGATACTGGTTTAAAAATATCCTGATTATTGCTCAGTTTTCCTGGGAAAAGTGGGTTTATTACTTGGATTTGGGGTGTGCGTGTGTATGTGTCTCTCTGCATGAGTGTTTAAGAGCTTTACATGGGCTTCAGGAAGTTCCATGGAGTTACTTCACTGCCACACACCTGTCCTTTTTTATTTTTCAAGACAAGGTTTCTCATGTTTGGAACCTGTTCTGGAACTAGCTCTTGTAGACCAGCTGGCCTCCAACTTAGCCTCCACCTGCCTATGCCTCCTGGGTGCTGGGATTAAAGTACGCCACCGTACTTTTTTTTTTGTGATTTATTTATCTTTCATTTTATGTGCATTGGTGTGAAAGTGTCAGATCCCCTGGAACTGGATCTTCAAACAGTTGTGAGCTGCCATGTGGGTGCTGGGAATTGAACCCGGGTCCTCTGGAAGAGCAGTCAGTGCTCTTAACCACTGAGCCATTTCTCCAGCCCCCATCTCCTTTCTTTTAAGCTAGGTACCTTGTCTCAACTAGGACTGTCAACAAGGTAGGATCTTAGCAATGGAGTAAGTTATCAGGTTAGCACATTAAGTGCCATTTTGAACATCTCAAATTTAAGTTAATATGTATGTTGGTAACAACGGTGAACCGACTTCAGTGTGAGTAGTAGAGAAGGGATCATGAGTATGAAGTCAACATTTTGATACCTCAAGTGTAAGGAATGATCTTGTCTTGTGAAGCTGAGGGATGTGTGAAGGCTGAAATTAGGGTTATTGACAGCTAAACTGGTTGTCCAGTATGTGTCAGATCTCATTATGTACTCAGTTATATTTTGTAGGCAAGGAAGTAGAATATTCCAAGTCTTGAACTTTATTTTTAAACTACCACACATGTGCAAATGTCAACACTGTTGAGCCAGCTCTTCTTCCAATGACCGAGCCTAAGCAGTAAGCCTGAGCTGATCTGCAGTTTCTACCTCTGTAGTGGCTGGGCTTAAAGGCCTTTATGTTTTTACCTCACTTTAAGAGGGATTGGGAATTGATCTGTGGGTCTCTCCACTGAGCTGCAGTGTTAGCACCAGGACTTATGATTCTTGAATTTATGTTCAGAACTCGACTGGATTTTGAGGATTTGGGACTGTCTTGAGATGAAGTCATCAAAGCATTGTAGGTAGGACAATACCCATTACAAAAGTAACGAAAAATGGTAATAGAATGCAGATAGGAAAGAATGCTTAGCCAGAAGATAAGTAAAACCCCTACACCACCTCCCAGAATGTGTTTTCATGCATGCACGATGCTTGAGAATATGTAAAACAAGGCCAAAGGCATTTGAGTTCATTACTAGTTGTGGTTGGTCATTTCACTCCATTTTAAGGATTGGTGGATTCACTTGTCTACAATTTTAAGAAATTATAAGTTCGTAAGACTAGATCTGGCAGTCCAGATAATCTACATAAAATGAATTTAGCCTCATGCAAGAACTATCTCAAAGCACAGGATTTTGCAAAGGTTTTGAGGATATGTGTTGTATGGTGTGCCCCCCCCCCCACCAAAGGGTTTCTCTGTGTAGCCTTGACTGTCCTGGAACTCAAGAGATCCACTTGCCTCTGCCTCCTGGGAGTGTAGGGATTAAAGGCCTGTGCCACTGCTGCATGGCTCAGGGTTTGTTTTGAATACTGTCTCATTAGCCTTGGCTGGCTTTGGAAAGGAACTGAAAGTAGCTATCAGGGAGGTCTGATACTTGGAACAAATACTACTATGTTTCTATAACTTCAGGAATAACAAACACTACTGAGCAGCACCCTTTTTACTGTATGCTCCAGTGAACGGGCAATAGCAACCACAGCTACCGACACAAGGCTTTAAACCAAATAATCTGAATTCCTGAGTTTTGCATTTTGAGCCTGTTCTCTAGTTTCTTGCCCACTGTGACCTGTTTGCCTTAGCATCAGTCCAAAACAGAGTTTGACTGATCCAGGTTCTAGACAGAATGAGTCAGTCCTATGACAATATCTACATTTTGGGGTTAATGGAAGGACGGAAAAAGTTCAGGGTTGATGATCAAGGGCAGGAAAACAAGCTGCTTGTTGTGTGAACCAAAGACGGCCTGGAGGTAAGCGCTGACCAGAGTCCTGGCTACTCAGGCATAAATCGCGTCAAGGCTGGGGCTACAGCGGCACTTCCGAACCGCTAGGTGGTAGCCGTGTGCTTCCAAAAACCGGGTCACCTACTAGAGAATGCAGCTGGAATCCCTAGAACCGACCTTAGAGTCCCAGAGCGGGGGAAGGGAGACGCTCCTGAGCCCTTTCCTTCTCTCATGGCAGGAACGGGAAGAGAAGGCTTCACTTAGCGTAGTCACCCCATTGTGGGGAGGGCGTGGGGTTTATCTTGCGTGTCCTCAGGTCGAGGGTAAACGCTACTCCTTTTAGTTGAGCCACCCCAGCTGGTGGGCCTCGTCTGTCCTCTCCCTGCTTCCGAGCACTAGTGAATGTGAGTGCGAACAGCAAATGTGAGGGAGGCAGGACGCTCTGCACCTAATTGCATTCTTTGGGAACCCCGCCTGCTCCATTCGGCCAATATTGGCGTTGTGGCGCAGTGCTCCGACGGCTCCCAGGGCTTACCAGCTCCAGCCTCGTGGGTATCTGCCCTGCTGAACGGCCAGTCCCATCGCAGACAGTCTGAGTGCCTCCCCTCCAGCCCTGAGCCGCCAGAAGGAGGAGGAGGCAGTGGAGAGGCCGTGGCAGGCAGGCAAGCAGGCAGGGCCGGCTTTGATGTGGGCGCGGCGCACCCAGCCGCGTTGAGCGCCCGTCCGGCCGCGCCCCGAGGGGGGAGCCCCCGGGCCCCGCATCCTCAT